ACAAGGTTTCCTGATGTGACAGCATCATCATAATACCTGTAAAGTCGGAAATATTTCTCGTGTATTCCCGGTTAATAGTGATTACTATACGTTTGAGTTTGCCGATTTCTCTCCATTTGACTGTATATTTTTTTAAAGCGCTTTAATGTGACCTCATTGCATTTAAGTCATTGGTTATTAGATCAATTTTTCATCTCGCTTGATTAAACAATCTTCAGTATGAAGGAAATAGCATTTAGCTAAACAACCATCTTTACTGTTTGGCTGCTGCTTTTCCAACCTCTACAAACAGATCACATTGTTCAGAGACTTGAGGTGTTTCGAGTCGTTAATTTTTTCACTACTGGAACATCGATAATCAGGAACGTTAGGCATTAATTTGAACAGCATTTGGGCTTGTGGTTCATGACTGTAACGTGAAGATTTAGTGCATGAGCGTTGGCATTAAAAGATAGATGAAATTTTGTTTATTAACGCAGACTTTATGCTTGAACGGTTTCTTATGAAAGGTATTAAACATTATTTCTTTAGTCTCTATGGGAAAGTTAAGAAAGTGAGTTCTGAAGTGTTTTCCTTTTGTGATACTTTTTTATTTGACGATCTAGTTAGTTTCACAAGTAATGAATTCGCTTTTTAAGCTTACCTTTCAGCTTTTCAGGTATTGCGCAAGAAATTTATCTATTGTTGATGTCATTTGACTACGAACACTCCTACTGGAAAGACTGTAAGTAGTAATCGCCTGATCTTCTAAAAACCAGAACTTCTATTTTTAAGCGACAGTTTTCTATACTTTTATCATATTCTGTAGTTAGAGGCATGTGGAAAAAACATTCATTACGAATGACCAGCTGGAAGCGTGATGACTTGAAAACGAAAGATAAATAAATGCATTTTTCAAAATTAAACTCAAAATTACTCTGGCTCTCAATTTTGTGACAATTTTCTTACTCTCATCAAGTTGAAGTTGGAGTGAGAATCTAGCAAGACATTGCACTAAGCAAGTTCATATTTGTTCATGCTTTGAAATTTTTAATGTTTTTGGTACCTCATCGTTGATGCCGCTGTATAAGTTTGTTAGTGTGTAAGCATATGCAGGAACCGAACATTTCCTCATGAAGTCTATGCTGTTTACTTGTAAGTTTGACTGATCCTAGTGTCAAAGTGTGTTGGATGAAGTAGCTTCAAGAATTTATTACTCGACACTGGTATAGGTGTATCTGGTACTTCTGAAATTGTGACATGATAGATGTACTGGACTTGGAATAATCAGAAGTTGCAGTCATAGAAAGCGTTAAAGGTTATTAACGTAAAATGTTAAATTACAACCAGTAGTTGCAGTTGGGGTTTCTGAGGAGACTTTCTGCTGATTTTCGTGAACAAACAACTGGACTGAAATGGAAAATCTGTTCTTCTTTCAAGGTGGAAAGAATAACTGCAAAAACTAATTGGCGTTGTATCCGATTTTTAAGACGTTAGGTGAGTTCGTGCCCGCCATTGCGTTAAAATACTTTAAATTGATGCGGTACATCTTCGCAACCTACGAATTTATTTCATGATTTGGACTAAAAGTGAAATCCTTACAAACCTCAATTGTGACCTTAATATTTGCGTACTATACTACAGTAAAAGATAATTTTTGAAAGACACCTTAACCGATTTGTACTTATTCTCATTCATTTTCGCTCACTAGCCCTGTCATCATTTACAGAACTGATTTTTAAACAAAGCATTTTCTGTGCTGCGTCTCTTATTATCAAATAATGAATGACTCATCCAAGACAAGATTTCACGGCCTATTGTACCGCTCCATTGCTCCTACTCCCCGATGGGGGTGATTTAAGCAGACAACGGCTCTGTACAGAGTACCAGATCCTGAGACATTGTTCATGATGAGCGCGAGATGGCTCTAGCAAGTAAAATTATGCAAAATGTATCTGTCACTGTAGATATTCAAATACCATGAAGCTGCTGCCTGCTTAAATGGCCGCCATAGACAACGAAGAGCAATGGGGTGGTGCAATATGTCGTGAAATCTGGTATTGGAGGAGTCATTCGTTATTTGACTTGGGGTATGTACAGCTTAGGAACTCGTAGGATCAGAGTTATGAGTGACTTCCGTAGAACGTAATTAATCATAAAATCATAGTTGTGAATTTAATTTCAGAAAAACAGACTTCAATTTCAAGCTATTGCTTCTCTGCTACGATCCTTTTATCCATGCTTAGACGCTTTAGTTTTTGCTCCGTCGGCACTGCTGGCCAGTCTGTGTCATTTTGAACTTCTTAGGCGTTTCATTCTGGTCATGAAGCTTACATGCGATGTTACTTCTTGTGCAAATCTTGTTTGTACGTGCTTGATTTTTTCTACACACATTATCACAAGTTTGCTGCGATTGTTTTCCGCGACGTAGGCAAGCGAGATAGAGCCCAATCTAATTATAGTAAATCCACGTTTCTGACTAAGCAAAAGATTTGTTTTCACGATATTAACGTCCATTGTCGATATTGCCAATCTCTCCGGTACCATATTTACAAACAGCAGCTAACGATGTCACGACATGTAGCGATCTGAAGACCGGAAGAATTGCGACGGTTAATAGTAATAATCAGCATATGGAGCATTGAACAGTTTGAATTTTTAACATTTTAATTCATGACTCCAGTTCAACCACAATTGGGCGGTTTTAAGCGCAAATTATAAATGGATTTGAACCAGTCAATTTTTGTTGGATACTTATTCAATTCCTAACCCAGAATACAGAACAATTCTAAAAACTTAATTGATTGGTTTGTTCATTTATTGACTGTCGCATTGCTAGAAAGAACAAAAGCACACCGCATTATAAGTATAATGCAAAATAACCGAATAATGCAATGATGACTAATTAGTAAAGCATTCGACTTGTCTTTAACATAGTCTCTTCTTGTTAAATCGCTAATGATCGCTGATCTCAGTTGATGGTCGCTAAAAGCGAGAAAGGTATTCCTCGTTTGTAAGGTTAGCGACCCCGGTTAGTCAGAAGTACATAAGCAAACTGTAAGCATCATAAATAGTTTCTTCTTCGTGCTCAACGTGCACCGATTCATAATTTGCCGTTTGTTTGCTTGTTTTTTGTCATCATCTTTAACCGCTTTGAAAAACTGCAGGCTGCGTAAGATTAGTGATGATCACTTCTCTTAATAGGTTGAAACTGCTGCCATATTATTAAAAAATTCTTTCTCTCATTGCAGACATTGATTTTTCATAACATCTTCAGAAATTTCTCCAGATTTATTTATTTAAGTCATCGTTTATTTTTTGCTTGCTTGTATCTGTCGTTGTGCGCCTTTACTCAGGATTTTCACTGCGTAACTTTCAGATATGTCACTTACCAGTCTTTTCAGTTGACCAGCTTTGCATTCGTACGTGACTTCTGTATTGAATTTCTTTCCAGTTTGAATAGAGAACGGTGCAATCCATACTTGTTGAGTATTATTTATATGATGAACATGATCGATCGTCAAAAATGCTAATGTCAATTATGCAGCTTATATTTCATTATAGTATTACACCTTGCGCAGTTTTCTCTGAAATGTCTGTTGCCAAACGGTGCAATGTCATGCTTTCACTATGTAACCTGAAGAAATGAAATAAGCAATTGGTCATAACAAACGAGTCACTTAAAGGTTGAAAAGTTGAGCAAGATTTCATGCTAGGGCTTGTTTAGTAATCGAATTGCACCTTAAAGCGGTTGTTAGCGTCATTTCCTTCTAAATGAATAGCTGGTAGCAGTAGTGCACTGCGGTTTATTAGTCCCATTAGATTGAGATTGTTTCAGATTTACTAAAAATTTCCATAGCTGATGCAGGTAAAGTATTTCTCTCTCTCTCTCTCATTTTCTTTCTCTCTCTCTCTCTCTCTCTCTCTCTCTCACACACACACACACACACACAC